TTTGCATGTGCCAGAAACTGCTTCAAATAAGCAATCTTAAATCACTGCTAGATTACTGAGTAGTGAATGCCAATCAATCTGGAAAATTATTTCTGAATGTATTACAGCTACTCACAGTGCCATTTCAAACTGTTCAAGCCATTTCTTCTTCAAATCTTTGGTTTTGCAGTATAGTTCTAGGCCATTTTGTCCTTGGATGTGGATGAGGTAGAAACCATAAGACCACTGTTTAAACAGGAAGAAAATTCAGTAGTTAGCTTTTAAGAACCAAGAGACAACCAAGTTGTAAAACGCCTGGAGGACACCCATTTCTAATTTCCCAAAATTCCAGGGAATTGTAACAACAATAATCATTACAACATTCCAGAACACTTTTGAGCTTCCTAGAATCTTCATATATTTTTTAATCCCATTGGAAAAATTAGATAAACCAAGGCTGTAGGATGCACAACCGCACCACTTTAAACTTTTTAATGTTTCCCCATATTAAAAAGTTCCTGAGGAAAAAAAGAAAAGCAATTCATCAAGAAGATAAACATTTTTCCTTGATTCCCAGTTTCCTACACAGGGCTGTAGATAAATAAATCTAGAGAAGAGGGCTTACAGAACTTTTAAATATCACAAGTATCTAGGAATTTTAGCATTTTAGAGCAGAATATGTCATGGATTTACACACATTCTATATTTTTACCTTTTTATTCTCTTTGTCGGTGGTAGGGTTATTGTTTATTTTGTATTCCTGAAGATCAATTATATCCTTCATTTCATAATTATCACCTCTCCGTTTGCATACTATTACAGCCAAGTCAAACAAAAAGATATGCCTGGGGGAGAAATGAAAGTATAATAAGAACTAAGAATTCAAACTTGCGGTTAACAATGCTATCTGAGAAATATTTAAGTAGAGTTTATCTGGATTAAATTCTTAATAAACATTACAATGTCAAGTCAGATTGTGAAACTGAAATTTTCTCTCAAATTTTAAAATATGTATTCTGAACTGCAATTTTAGTTTTTCACTGCAGAGTTCTATGCAGCATACTTATAAATCTCATTCTATTCTACAATACTTTAGTCCCTATCAAGAGGAAGAGGAATAGATGAGGACTGGATTCTGTTTTAATTTAATTTGATTTGATTTAGGTGCCACCCAACACCAAACAACTCTTACAATGTAAAAAAAAAAAAAAGATAAAATAACAACAATTGAAAACAAAACTCATGAAGAGTTCTAGCCACTGTAGTCCAAAGGCCTGGGGGAACAGCCAGGTCTTCAAGGCTCCAGAACAGAGCCACCCGGATCTAGAGGGAACTTCATTCCAGAGGGTAACCACCATGACAAAGAAGGTGAACCTCAGGGTCCCAAAGGATGACACTGTTTAACTGAATGAATGCAAAGCACACCAGCACTGTCAGTTCATATTGGCCAGGCAGATACCATGGGAGACAGATACAGTGGGGCAAAAAAGTATTTAGTCAGCCACCAATTGTGCAAGTTCTCCCA